TGGAGGATCAACATATCTCTTAGAGTATATCCGATTGTAAATGATTTTATCTTTCAAGTTAACTTTATTTTGGTAACATGGGCCTTAATTTAAAATATTGGATTTTATAATGATTACTTTTTTGCTACTAATATTCGGTTTATCGTGATTTGGATTTTTACGACATGTTTTAAATTAATTTATTATTTTTTTAGTTTTAAATTTATGAGTGGGGTTTTTATTGTTAAATTATTATATTTCATAAATGTCTTTTGGAACATGATTTTAATTTACCGAATAATGTTTTTAGGAAAATGTCTTTAAGAATTATAAATGTGATCTATTAGACTTAGTCGAAACATATAGGTTGGGTCTAGGGGGTTACAGGCTCTATCCCCCATACCTCATTTCTGAACAAGTTCCGAACACGGAAATATCAAGAAAAATGAAGAGTTGGAGCAATACAGCTTCTAACCATAGGATAGTTGATACCATAAGCAGAACAAGAAAAGAAAAAGTACCTCTTTTGCAACTATTAAAGCTGTTTCATACAGTGTTCCATCAAAATAAACCATATTCACTCCATCCAATGCAGATAATAATTGCGATTGTGAGAGTTCCTCAGGTATCAAGGGTGGATAACCAGGGGTGTGAATACAGGTGCGAGTTTTCCTGAAAATTTAGTGTCAACCAATTGAGTGTGAAGATTTTGAATGAAATAATCTTCTATTATATTTTTCTGTTAATAGCATACATACATATATATATAGGAGAGACAACTTAAACAATAATATACCCATAACGGCTCAAAATATTCTGTCAACAGCCCATAACTAACCTATATTATTATGTAGGAAATAGGAATTGTATTATAAGACAACATCCTGATTTCTATCTTCATTTTTTAACATAAGCAATACTTATTTTTGTTCTGGTTATGAGTTTAAGAATGTGGCTTGCTTCCACACCTGAAAAAAAAATGTAAACGAATCTTGTTGTATAGAAAGGACTGCAAGAGCCGGCCGAAGGTGACCTTAAGCCAACTCTACAGAAGATAATCCTCCATGCTTTAAACCTGCCTTAGGCAGATCCCAAACGACTATGCACAGAGCCAAAGAGAAAAGAAAGATTTTCCAAGGAAAAACATTTCTTACTAAAGGATAACTTATTATATGATGCATGTGATAAGGCTATAAGTGCTCACATTTCACTATCAACGATGATATAAGAAAATGGTGAATTCCCCTCCTCAGAAACCTGAAATCCACACATTTAAGTGAGAGTCCAGGTTTTAACGAAACATTTAGAGGCGATAAGATAAAATATGTATTATATAATAGAAGGTTGTCTAGAGCATTAAGCTTATTGATGGTATCATCTGGAAAAATTATATGCTTTAATATTTAAGGGGCCAAAACAAGGGCATATGAATGAGCAAATAACACATATTTGTTTGGTTCACCAAGAAATAATACCATAGATAAAGTAATGTACAATAAAGCACATTCCTTTGCAGGCTGGTCTCAGCTATATGACAATCCAAGTTAGGTTATTTTCTTGTCTTCTAACTTGTGGAGTTCAGGAAAGTTGTGATCAATTCAAACATTTGATTAAATCAATGATAATAGTAGGCTATGGATCTTTTCCAGAAGTATGATCCATAAAACATCTCAAAAAGGCTTACAATAAAGAATGAAGTGTTGATTCCGTCAGATTCAAGCTTAGGGATGGCAGAATGACCCGAACCCGATGGGAAACCCGGTCAAGTTCGGGTCGGGTATCGAGGATTTTTTTCGGGGATTTTTTTGGGTTCGGGTTCGGGGCAAGGTATCCCCGCCCCACCCCGATTATATATATATATATATATAATATTTTTTATTTTTTATATTAATTATATATATAATATTTTATATATTTTATATATATAATATTTTTGGGTTCGGGTATAATATTTTGGGTCGGGTTCGGGGACGGGGCAAAAAAAATCCCCAACGGGGCGCCCCGTTAAAAAACCCGACGGGGATCGGGTCAGGGACGAGGATGGGGATTCATTTCGGGGAAGGGGCGAGCAAAACCCACCCCGTTGCCATTCCTATTCAAGCTCCTCCAGGATACTCTTTCCTTGAGCGTCATTGGCAACCTAACAATTTATATAATGCAACAAAAATGTTATCTCAATCAACAGTCATGCTTCAAAGTGGAGTTGAATTAAGTAGATAAAGAATGTGCAAAGCTATGTAAAACCTTAGAAATTAGTCGCGGTTTTAATCCTAAACGAGCAGCACAAGTTAAGGCATTTCCAGCATTCCCACCTCCTTGAACCTGTGAAAACAGATGTGAAATTAATCAATTAAACCTACAAGTTATATGGCTGAAGCTCCTGAATTTTCTTTTAGTACCCTTGTCCAACAGCAAAGTTGTCTGATGCACATCAGAATATAGACATGAGGAAATGGCTGTTCAATGATTCTCCAAGTACAAGGAGAAACTTAGAAAAAAATTGAAAATACACATATCGATAACATATCCATACCTGACACTTCAAATACGAGTAAAATAACCTAATAAGAGATTCTACAAAGAAATTAAAGACAAAGTACAAATTGAAGCATTGATCAAATATGAACTACATCACTTAAAATCCATTAAAAAAAACAGTCAAGTAACATAAACATGTTGGACATAAATATTTGTGTTACCGACACTCACAAGTTCGAGTAACATAACCTACTAGGGAGACAAAAGGGAAAACTGAAACATTGATCAAATGTGAACTACATTACTCAATTAAAATCCATAAAAAATATCCAAGTAACCATAACCTAGTCAAACATAAATTCTCATGTCAAACACACACCCACACCTAAACTAATGAATTCGAGTAACATAACCTATTAGGAGGTTCTACAAAGGAATTGAAGACAAAAGGGAAAACTGAAACATTGATCAAATATGAGTTGAATTACTCACTAAATATATATATAAAGACTGACTATGATAACAAAATTGGATGGGAATACCAACACTCACAAGTCCGAGTAACATAACCTACTAGGAGGTTCTCTAAAGAAATTGAGAACATAGGGGAAACTTGAAACATTGATCAAACATTAACTACAATGCTCGCTTAAAATCCATCAGAAAAAAGATTGGATAAACTACACATTTAGTACCAAAACTATCAATTTTGATCCATTTTAATACTTAAACTTTTAATTTTTCAAAATCATTTCTAATGATTAATTTTTATTTCATTTTAGTACTCACCGCTAAAAACTTAACGCTATAGTACCTAAACTTTCATTTTTTATTTTCAAAATTTAACGTTAAATTATGAACAGGGTACTAAAATAAAACAAAAACTAAATTTTAGTATGATTTTGAAAACATTGAAAGTTTAAGTACTAAAATGAACCAAAACTAATAGTTTAGATACTAAATGCGTAATTTACCCAAAAAGATAAACTACCCAGGTCTAATCCACACCCAATACTAACACTCTTGAATCCAAGTAACATAACCTATTACAAAGTTCTTCAAAAACAATTGAAGAAGGTCAAATTGAAACATTGATGAAATATGAGCAGACGTCAGTAGATTAAATAAATTAAAAGCAGGAAGCTCGGAATCTAGAAATTAGAATCTTTAAGTTGGCGGCTCGGATTTTGTCGTCAGGTTTAGGATAAGAAACAACGGAGGCCAATAAATCCACCATGACCGATCCACACCCTAGCTGTTGATTATATATTAACAAAGTTGAAAAAAAACAACTTTATCAATTGTATGATAATGCCAAACAAAAAACAAATGAGGATATGAATATAGAAGACAAGGATGGAAATTAAATGATAAAAAAGTACGACGATGCGGTGTTCAGGAAGAGATTCGGATAAAAATTGGGGCCTGAAATTTGAGGAAGGAGAGGAGAAAGCGCAAGACGAGGCAGAGTCGGCATTGGGGAAAAGAGAAAGGAGCGATAACAGCGCCATTGTTTTTTTGTTTTTCTCCCTCCGCAATGCTTTAAGCTAAGTTTCAATATCCAAAACTCAGGACCTCTGTAGCCAACCAATTCTGAGCCGTGCAAATTCAGTCTATTTATTTTCTATTTTTTATTTTATTAATGCCTATTAAAAGTCTTTTTTTTAGTGTATTTCTATTATGAAATTATATAAATTATCATAATCTTATTAATGTGATTGAGTAATTTTTTTATAATTATTTAATGATAAAAAAATTATTATTATTTTTTAAAAGTCTCGAATTTAAACACTAATAGTTGTAACAAGAGTGAATCAATATTTATTGTCACATGATTGAGAGTATTTAAAAAATATGCTCTATTTTATAATAATTTTAGCTTAATCAAAATAATACTAATATTTTATATAACACAACTCAAATTATCTCACTGATTAAAGTGATAGTTGTTATTCTTAAAGTCCTAAGTTTGAATACATTGTATGTCAATGATATTTAAGTTTTAATTGGATACCTATATTAAAATAGGATAAACTGCACGTTTATAACTCTAATATCATTTGTATTCTATTTTGGTCATTCAAAAAACAAATTAATATCAAACCTAACATTGTATTTTGGTTTTATTTTGGTCACTTTTCATTAAAAATTTAATGATAATACTTACATATTACTATAAGGTGATACCACATCATCATTGAAAAAAAAAATATCATGTTAGCAATTCTATTGATTTTTTAATAATAATTAACTAAAGGTATGTTAATTTGAAAAAGTTAGGTGATTGAAATAAAACAAAAATAATAATTGAGTATTAAACGTGAAATTCACCCTATAATATGTTATGTCACATATATTCCGACAAACTTTAAATCAATTCAGTTATATCAATTTAGAAAGGCCCGAGTCGGGTCTAATAGAGCCTAGATTTATTAAAAAAAATACAGATTTTAACAAGCAATGATAAGATAATTGTAGATTGCAGATTATTAAGAGCAAATCATCGAGAAAACCAACAAATCTGGACACTGTTCAATAATCTAAGCTTCTGGTTCGTAAATATTTATGTACAACATCATCCGCCCTCCTCGAGCTCTAAAAGCAAAGGAAACCAACTTGGAAATTAAATGATAGTTACCAATTTCAAAATTTCAACTCCAGACTATTGGGAGTCATACTTCTAAAGATGATTATATGAACTAAATAAACTCAATTCGATCCGAGGTCCGAGTTAACCTTGGCATAATAGCAACCCCGTGGATCACTTCTTTTCCAAGGTCTACTGTAGTGCAAGGAACAGATTACTTCTTTAAATATGCAAAAGCAAATGCTAATCCGCTATGCACGAGTTAGACAATCCCAAAAGCTTTCGATATCAAAGAAAAGCATACCTGTATCAAGAGATATATGATTGGGAGGAGGCGGTGCATTAAGTCCTGCAGTAAGAGGCCCTTGTAGAGGACAATGGCTATCCGAAAGGAAGCTCTCGAGCTCATTGTAGAACGACTTATCTCCCTCTCCTACGTTGAATGGTCCTTCTCCAGTTGTGGTTTGAAACTGTAAATAATCGGCAGAAGGTTGTTGATTGCTTCGACCGATGTCATTCACCCAACTAATGTCAAAATCTGAAAAACCATTGTGTGTTGCAGAACGATTTAGATTCTGAACATGATTGCTATCTTCGCGTACATTTGACTGAGGAACAAATTCAATGTTTGCTGAGGATAGGGAGGGTGCTGAGTTCGTAAAAACAGAGTCCATACTAGGCTGTGAGATCTGATGTGTATATGTTCCTAAACTTGTGTCGAAACAATCTTTTTTCCAGTCAATGGGATCCGGGTTTCTTTCGTTTGATGTTGTAACTAAAGCAGGATTTTGTCGAAACTGTGATGCATGAGCATAAGTAATGTTTTCAGACGGAACATATGGGATGCAATTCCTTGTTGAGGTAACTTCAGTGTCAACTCCTTTGGACATTATGTTGGAAGGGTTAAATTGAGAACCCCAGTTCCTAATTTTAATACCCCGATCCCTTCGGATTACGGTATTATGCACACCTAGAACCTCCTGTGAACCCAAATGCGGCTGAATCGTGCTCTTATTTAGAACATGTCGGTGTCGGCTACCCACAATCGGGTTATATGGAATCCCATGTCTGGTAGATGATGAACAAGCACGAATTATGGATGGCCTTGAGGCATGATCTTGTGGTATGCAGTTCCCAGAAGCTTGAACAGGAGTTGGTCTAAAAACATGACTTTGAGTAGTCACTCGAATATTGTCCCAATGTGGCACTTGGTCACGTTGGGACACTACTGTAGAATGAGAAGTGACAGCTGGAGCTGATCTAAAAACATGATTTTGTGTCGTCAACCGAATAATGTCACGTCGTGGAGCTTGTTGAGGCACTGCTGTAGAATCAGAAGTGACAGGAGGTGCAGAAACATTTCTCCCAAGCCTGAAATTCTTCCGCAAAGTCTTCCAAATCTCCTCTTTATCAGTGGCATGACAATGATCAGAACTAGAGATACCCGAGCCCCAATAACAACATGGTGCTTGCATGTCGCAAACAAAGCAATGACACTGCAATTTAAAAAAGAACATTCATAGCTTACATCTGAACGGATGCTAAATTCAAGGGCACCAAACTCTGAAAGAGAGCAACAATCAAGAATCTCAAAATTAAAAAGGTTTCAAAAGTATTACCAGTTCACAGTGCTGTTCATGTGAGGTTGATCTGAAAGGATATTTAGCACAATCATGCCGTGGATGGGGGAAATCTCTGCATGCAACCTACAAACAGATGATATAGAAAAATGAGACAGACATTCGAAATTTTGTGCCCACGAGAAAACAGTCTGGAAAGCGTAAAGAAAAAAAAGAATAGGGTTCGTCATTAAATGTAAACAAGTAAGAAGGCAACCTGTATATAAATGCCCCTAATATCACACCAGCTCCTAGATCGTAGATATACCGAATAGAAAACTCCAAGGGTTTCATTAATTGTTTCAAGCTTTACAGCTTTCAGTACCAAGTTTAACCATTTGGTCTACTTCAATACTAATGAAACATATATATTATGCCCATGAGATCATCTGAGCATGAAGATTGGTAAATTTTGGTTCTCCGACAAAGTCGTTTCATTCGAAGGTTTGAATATTATCAGGAAAACTCATGATCTTTCCTTTTTCCAGAAATTAGTGAACTGGCTCTGACTAGTGGAAAGGAGTAAGGACTATGACACACTGCAACAGATGATTATAACTTTTCAATGATTCAATTCTTACCTTCTTGCCTTCCAAGTTCACACTTACGGCACAACATACTGACCATCCCATAACAATGGTGCTTCAGCAGGTTGAAAGAAAATATCTAAATGCGGTGAACATTCAAAATTGCAGGAGCTAGAAGGCATGTTACAAAAAAGAAAAGATCTAGAACCACAACAAAACACACACAAAAATTATTCAAGAAATGCCAAAAAAATAGCAAAATTAGCTAAGTCTGAGAATGTTTCGAATTCAAGATTTTTCGAGCTCAACTTGAGTAAAGCTTCAGTTTTTCATTTCGAATTTGAGTCGAGCTTTATAATTTTAAGCTAGCGAGCTTTCGAGTCGAGCTCAACAATACTCGAGCTCGTTTACGGCCCTAAAATGAACCTAAATATCTCAATAACCATTCCCTAAAATTCAACACCGAGCATGCACTACTGTCCCTGACATAAAGATATGATATACATGATATCAACAAAAAAATATTTAGAATCAAGTCATTCAACTAATTTCTATTTCTCAATATCCCGTTCCTTAGCATATACAGATCACAAATTTCACTAGGAACTACTGGAAACCACATAGAAATGGATTTGTTCTAATTTTCTCAGAAAACAAACTCGACCGATGTACTTAGCCACAAAAACCAATCAAAACAAAAGGGCTAAACAAGAAAACAGAGATTAAAAATTTTGATATCAACCTGCCCTTTTTGGCCTACGACAAGCAACTCATCGGAATCTTCATGGTTATCATTAACGTCAGACACCACCGTTTCGGGGTCATCTTCCAAAATGATACAATCATCGTCTTCTACATTAACATTCTCCCTGACCGATGTGTTCCGTGACTTTGACTTCTTATTAAGGTTGACTTCCCCGATCAGCACCACCTCATCGGAATCGTCGAAGCCCTTGTTAACGGTTTTCAGAACTTCTGAAAACCAGTCGTAGTCGTCCCCTTTAGACTCTTCCAAAGCGGACGCGACGTCTTCCTCGTCGGAGCTTATATCGAAAACCACAGGATTTGACCCCATCACAAAAATAGTAACACAATATAAATAATAAGTTAGGGTTCCTATTTTTTTTGAAAAAAAAGGAACTAAATTATAGTAACATTTTCTTTATGAGAAATGCGAAGGTTCTGTAATCTGAAAGTTAAAACAAAAAAAGTACAAATCAGAATTGAAATCATGGTTTGAAACCGTGTAGAATTTATTATGATTTGTGAATAAAAGAAATGAAGAATTTCAGGGTTTAGGATGGCGGTTTTTTTAAAAGATTAATATGAGAAGATTAGGGTTTTTGAGGTTGTTGATCAGATTGGGAATCCCCCCCCCCCTTTTTCTTTCTTTCTTCCTTCTTTGACCGAGAGATTTGAGGTGAAAATGAATCACTGAAATGAACTTGAGCGAAAAATAAGAGGCAATCTACAACAGACGGAAAATGAGCTACAAGAAGGGTACAATCGGAATTTCAAATTTGCGAACAAAACAAATTTCTCTTAGAAATTCTATTATCGACCCATGGTTTATGGAATATGTATTTTTTAGATTTAATCTCTATTTTTCAATTTGATATTTTTAATCTTATATTTTAAAATTATAATCTTGATTTAGGCATAAATCGTACTACCTTTAGTTCGGTTTAGCTGAGAACCAGATCAATGATGTTATAAAAATTGATCGAAAATAAAATTTATAACTTTTAACCAAATTCAAACATCATATATTAATTGATCAATTATGGTTTCATGGACTAAATGGTCATTATAATCTTATTCATAAATATGGGGTCCAATTAAGCAATTCAACATATAGGAGTATATTACCATCATCGACATTCAAAGTAAATCAAACAATCTTAAACATTCATCACTAGTGGCATCAATATTATTTATACGATATCAATACTATCTTAAAACAATATCAATATTCTATGAATGATATTAACAATGAATTATTTTTCATAATTTTGAGGCTCAGTCGAATATCAATATCTTAATCAAATATTGATACTATACGTGTATAATACTGATACTCTCTTTGGATATTTCTAATAAATATTGATACCCTAATCATCGATCTCAATACCACAAATATTATATCCATACTCCAAATAGGTATCTATACCAAATAATCATTCAAAATCTTTTATTAATTATATGATATCGATAACCCCTTTTTTATTATAAATACCATATGCATCAAATGATCAAAACCATATTTCAAACACGCTCAAATGATCATCAAACTTGAACTAAGTTATATGCAACATGTAATATCATACCAATGGTGTAACACATCATCAATTTCATCCATAATTCATCAAATACGTACACTTGATCTTATTTACCATTTATATACATTTTTTTATCATTCTTGCATTTCATTTGATCATATTCATCATCGTAGTCATGCTTATAAACATGTCGGTCATATTTATCATATTTTCGCACCATTTACATACTTATATGAATTTTTTTTTATCTTATGACTATTGACGTGATGTTAGATCATTTTATCTTATTCATAATATACATGAACTTCACATTTCATGACATTCAAAATCATACTTATCATGAACCAAATTACATCCTTGACACACAATACTAATCACATATCATGACATTCAAAAGCATACTTATCATGAATCAAACTACAGCATTAACACACAATACTTATCACATATCAATATGCATATATAGCAATCATTCTAGAACTCACTACAAGAAAATATACCTTTAATGACATACGAATGATGACATACGTTAATTTATGACTTGCAAAAAATGTGTCATAAAAATATCATATTTTTTAAAATCTGAACGATTTATGACTTACAATAATATGTGTCATATTTAATAGTCATAATCCAAAAAATTTAACAAAAACACGAAATACACTTTTAATTATATGTCATCTGTAAAAATTCGTATTTTAATTTCCCCATTATTTTCATCCTTCCCACTTCTAGTCCTGCCTCCTCGATAATCAGTCCACGCATGCATCCTTCCCCCTTTTCTCTTTTTCCCTTTTTCTCTTTGCATGAGTGGACAATGGAAGCAATGCTTCTCGGCTTTCATCGCCTCAGCCCTAGCCTCTTATTGACAAAACCCCTTAAAATTTCAGGTTAGTCTTCCTCTGTTTGGTTCTTTAGAAAAATCTAGAAGTTAAAGGAGTGAACATTAACAAAGAAGTGTTGAGCACCGTTTTGATTTTGCTTTTGGATTTTGAATCCTAGATTTTGATTTTCCCATAGGGTAAAACTAAACGTCGTGGGATTCTACCTCGTCTTCGTCTTCGTCTTCTCTTGATGACTCTACCGGCTTAAACCAAAATTCTGATCTCAGACCGGTTAGCTAACGTTTCGGTTTGTTAACACTCACCGAGCCTAGTCGTGGAAATGGCGATGACTTTGCGAATGCATCGTTGAATCGGGAGAGAGACAACGGTGATGAAGAAGACGACCAATTAATCATGGAGAATCATGATATATTAGGCGACGAAAGGCCCTCTAGTTCTACTAGTAGTGGATATGCCGGTGAGAGAGGAAGTAGTAGTGCCACGAGCGAGTCTAGGATCAATGAAGCGAGTGAAATTGACGGTAATGAGATTCATGAAGTAAAGAACCATGGTTTCCTCAAAGGATTCTCCATTAATCAGGCCTCCCCTTGGGTTCCGGGTAAATGCCACGTTAATGAGGTTAACCATTCCAGTTCTTTTTCCTTTTTGAACAAAAAAATGGTTTAGCTTGTTTTTCGCCGAATTCGATAAATTTAAAGTTGGGAATGTTTATGAGGTTTTGGAATTTGGACCAGTCGATAACGATTTTATTGTTTGAGTGTAAGAATTATTAGCCTTTCATGGTTTGATTTGGAAACAAAAAGAAAGAATCAACTTCAAACAATCTTTGTTATATTGCATCATGTTTAATTTAGGAATGAAGTCCAGGATGATGGTTCGATAGCATGGAGAAAGAGGAAGAAACACTTCTTTATTTTGAGTAATTTTGGTAAACTGATATATTCCAGGTGTGTTAGTAATTCCTAGAGATGCTAATACTTGAAGGTGCAAAATCTGTACAAATAAAATGAACGGCTTGCTAATGGATCATACTTTAATTCTTTTGTACATTTCACTTCCATATATGGAGATGAACACAAACTAGCTGGTTTCTCAGCTATATTACAAGCCATCATTTCCTTCGTGGAGAATGGGTAATTGGCTGAATATAGCTTACTTGGTTTTTAGTAATGATTCTCGTGCTTACTCAGTGCAATTATTTGGGAAACTTTATCATTTTTATGTCAGTTTCATGGGGTTTTAACATTTCGGTAATTGCTTTTCAGGGGAGATCGTATCAAATTGATCAAGGTTGGGAAACACCAGGTATTATTACACTTGCTACTTCTGGATTTGAAATTTATGTACTTTATAATTTTCTAGCTCTGCAATCAGTTGTTATTAGACTACTTGCATTTGAAATACTTTCTCATCCATTTAATGATTAATCTTTTAAGTATTTCTTTGAATTGTCTTTTCACATTTTTGGAATTGCATTCTTTAGAAATAAACACTGAGGAACTGCAATTTAATTTCTGTTTCACAGTAGTATAATCAGTGTAGTTTCATTAAATGTGGTGGAACCTTAATCCTCAAATAGTTTTGTAATATTTGGCAAGACGTGTTAATTAATTTTAAAAAGAAAAGTAAATGATGTGATAGCAGTTTGTTTGATATTGTTAGAAATAGACATGTTTACGTGGACAAAGAAGTGTTGGCCTTCTATTTTGCTTTTGGTAGATGATCTGGGTGATTTTTCTGTGAAGCTTAAAGTGTTGTATTTTTAGCTTGGTATCAGCCCTCAGATCATTGCATCCATAATTATGCAGGTTTGTAATTTTTCTTTGGTCATATAAGATTTGTTTAACATGATTGTGTAAACTTTTAAATTCCATATTTTTTTCTACACTTCATGCTATGAAATCTATTTGCCACCCTCATGTTATATGTTTAAGTGGAGATAGATAGATAGATGTTGAGGATTGTTGCTATGTTCTTTTAAGACGGAATGGTTGTACAAAACTCTGATGCTTTTGTTTCTCACTAGAAATTGGCAGGATATGACGCATATTCAGCCTTTTCCTGGAATAAAACTTGAACATAATTTTCACATGTTCTCTATTCATTTTTTTCCATCTATGCCTTATATTTGAGCTTTTATTTGTAAACTAAATTCTTATGGTTTTTGTAGGGTTAAGCATGTGATGGAGACTGCTTTACTTTTGGTTTGTGGTGCAATGACTATGACATGGATCTGTGATACGATATCAGAATCCGGATTTGGTATCATTCTTATTACATTTACTCCTTATTTATTTCAATTGTTACATACAAGTTTTTAATTTAATAAGAACAACTAAGTAACTGACCGAATAAATGTAAAGCTAGTGGTTATTTTCTCTAGAATCTATAATGAGGAAAACTCTGGAAATTGAGCTTTAAGCAAAAAAAATTATTCGATGTGCAGAGACCTTATGTTGGATTGAAGGAAATAATAGGAAATAGTGATATTCTTCTCATATGTTCACCTTGAGACGAGAAATATGCTTTTATCCAAGATTATAGAAGTTATAGAAATTCATTAAAAGTTTTAGCCTTTCACCTTGTCCAAAGTCAAGGAAAGTTCATATAAAATTGGTGTGCTTTTTAAAGATCTTGTTTTCTTACATTTTGAAAGTGATGAAGTTGCACATTACTGCGATGTTTTGAGTATTTTGGCCTTCTTAATTCACTGCTTGTGTGTTTCAGGTCAAGGTTCATCTCTAATTATATATGTTGGAATATTAACTGGATACACAAATACGCTGTATGAGATGTTGACTCAACTCTCAGGTATGCCACATGTGCTGACTAAGGTCGTATTCTTAAGTTGGGTGGAGCTTTTGTCAGAATTATAACTTTTTAGTTCAAAAACTGTCACGTTTTAAAAGTAAAAAAAATGATTTCATGATTTCTGTTTTCCATGCAAAATTCTTATTATTAATAAGTAAAAATATCCTAAGCGGTTATTAACAAATTAAGTTTGACTAGGTAGGCAGCCTGAAGCTGTGGTACCAAAATTCGGTTTCATTGTAAAGAGTACATTCTATAGCTATTTCAATGAAAGTAATTCAGTATATAGGAAGGTGAGGAAAGTGGTGTGAAAATTGTATCTGTACACTAGTCCTTTAGTGATTATTTGCTCAACTGCAACGACCTTGGTTTTCTGTAGATGTGGACATCAATTATACGTGTCTTCTACATTTTTTTCAGTGTGCATCATTATTGGTTTCTTGCATCCATAGGTAGTTCCGTGAGTTGGTGGCCGTACATGCTTGATGTATTAGGTGTTTTTAC